ACTGACTCACAACAGTACTCACAAGAATGAGTCAGCCTCCAGCATGACTCTGGGTTGTACACTGACTCACAACAGTACTCACAAGAATGAGTCAGCCTCCAGCATGACTCTGGGTTGTACACTGACTCACAACAGTACTCACAAGAATGAGTCAGCCTCCAGCATGACTCTGGGTTGTACACTGACTCACAACAGTACTCACAAGAATGAGTCAGCCTCCAGCATGACTCTGGGTTGTACACTGACTCACAACAGTACTCACAAGAATGAGTCAGCCTCCAGCATGACTCTGGGTTGTACACTGACTCACAACAGTACTTACAAGAATGAATCAGCCTCCAGCATGACTCTGGGTTGTACACTGACTCACAACAGTACTCACAAGAATGAATCAGCCTCCAGCATGATTCTGGGTTGTACACTGACTCACAAAAGTACTCACAAGAATGAATCAGCCTCCAGCATGACTCTGGGTTGTACACTGACTCACAACAGTACTCACAAGAATGAGTCAGCCTCCAGCATGACTCTGGTTGTACACTGACTCACAACAGTACTCACAAGAATGAGTCAGCCTCCAGCATGACTCTGGGTTGTACAATGACTCACAACAGTACTCACAAGAATGAATCAGCCTCCAGCATGACTCTGGGCTGTACACTGACTCACAACAGTACTCACAATAATGAATCAGCCTCCAGCATGACTCTGGGTTGTACACTGACTCACAACAGTACTCACAAGAATGAATCAGCCTCCAGCATGACTCTGTGTTGTACACTGACTCACAACAGTACTCACAAGAATGAGTCAGCCTCCAGCATGACTCTGGGTTGTACACTGACTCACAACAGTACTCACAAGAATGAATCAGCCTCCAGCATGACTCTGGGTTGTACACTGACTCACAACAGTACTCACAAGAATGAGTCAGCCTCCAGCATGACTCTGGGTTGTACACTGACTCACAACAGTACTCACAAGAATGAGTCAGCCTCCAGCATGACTCTGGGTTGTACACTGACTCACAACAGTACTCACAAGATGAGTCAGCCTCCAGCATGACTCTGGGTTGTACACTGACTCACAACAGTACTCACAAGAATGAGTCAGCCTCCAGCATGACTCTGGGTTGTACACTGACTCACAACAGTACTCACAAGAATGAGTCAGCCTCCAGCATGACTCTGGGTTGTACACTGACTCACAACAGTACTCACAAGAATGAGTCAGCCTCCAGCATGACTCTGGGTTGTACACTGACTCACAACAGTACTCACAAGAATGAGTCAGCCTCCAGCATGACTCTGGGTTGTTCACTGACTCACAACAGTACTCACAAGAATGAGTCAGCCTCCAGCATGACTCTGGGTTGTTCAATGACTCACAACAGTACTCACAAGAATGAATCAGCCTCCAGCATGACTCTGGGTTGTACACTGACTCACAACAGTACTCACAAGAATGAGTCCGCCTCCAGCATGACTCTGGGTTGTACAATGACTCACAACAGTACTCACAAGAATGAGTCAGCCTCCAGCATGACTCTGGGTTGTACACTGACTCACAACAGTACTCACAAGAATGAGTCAGCCTCCAGCATGACTCTGGGTTGTACACTGACTCACAACAGTACTCACAAGAATGAGTCAGCCTCCAGCATGACTCTGGGTTGTACACTGACTCACAACAGTACTCACAAGAATGAATCAGCCTCCAGCATGACTCTGGGTTGTACACTGACTCACGACAGTACTCACAAGAATGAATCAGCCTCCAGCATGACTCTGGGTTGTACACTGACTCACAACAGTACTCACAAGAATGAATCAGCCTCCAGCATGACTCTGGGTTGTACACTGACTCACAACAGTACTCACAAGAATGAGTCAGCCTCCAGCATGACTCTGGGTTGTACACTGACTCACAACAGTACTCACAAGAATGAGTCAGCCTCCAGCATGACTCTGGGTTGTACACTGACTCACAACAGTACTCACAAGAATGAATCAGCCTCCAGCATGACTCTGGATTGTACACTGACTCACAACAGTACTCACAAGAATGAGTCAGCCTCCAGCATGACTCTGGGTTGTACACTGACTCACAACAGTACTCACAAGAATGAGTCAGCCTCCAGCATGACTCTGGGTTGTACACTGACTCACAACAGTACTCACAAGAATGAGTCAGCCTCCAGCATCACTCTGGGTTGTACACTGACTCACAACAGTACTCACAAGAATGAGTCAGCCTCCAGCATGACCCTGGGCTGTACACTGATTCACAACAGTACTCACAAGAATGAGTCAGCCTCCAGCATGACTCTGGGTTGTACACTGACTCACAACAGTACTCACAAGAATGAATCAGCCTCCAGCATGACCCTGGGTTGTACAATGACTCACAACAGTACTCACAAGAATGAATCAGCCTCCAGCATGACTCTGGGTTGTACACTGACTCACATCAGTACTCACAAGAATGAATCAGCCTCCAGCATGACTTTGGGTTGTACACTGACTCACAACAGTACTCACAAGAATGAGTCAGCCTGCAGCATGACTCTGGGTTGTACACTGACTCACAACAGTACTCACAAGAATGAATCAGCCTCCAGCATGATTCTGGGTTGTACACTGACTCACAACAGTACTCACAAGAATGAGTCAGCCTCCAGCATGACTCTGGGTTGTACACTGACTCACATCAGTACTCACAAGAATGAATCAGCCTCCAGCATGACTCTAGGCTGTACACTGACTCACAACAGTACTCACAAGAATGAGTCAGCCTCCAGCATGACTCTGGGCTGTACACTGACTCACAACAGTACTCACAAGAATGAGTCAGCCTCCAGCATGACTCTGGGTTGTACACTGACTCACAACAGTACTCACAAGAATGAGTCAGCCTCCACAATGACTCTGGGTTGTACACTGACTCACAACTGTACTCACAAGAATGAGTCAGCCTCCAGCATGACTCTGGGTTGTACACTGACTCACAACAGTACTCACAAGAATGAATCAGCCTCACATGACTCTGGGTTGTACACTGACTCACAACAGTACTCACAAGAATGAATCAGCCTCCAGCATGACTCTGGGTTGTACACTGACTCACAACAGTACTCACAAGAATGAATCAGCCTCCAGCATGACTCTGGGTTGTACACTGACTCACAAAAGTACTCACAAGAATGAATCAGCCTCCAGCATGACCCTGGGTTGTACACTGACTCACAACAGTACTCACAAGAATGAGTCAGCCTCCAGCATGACTCTGGGCTGTACACTGACTCACAACAGTACTCACAAGAATGAGTCAGCCTCCAGCATGACTCTGGGTTGTACACTGACTCACAACAGTACTCACAAGAATGAATCAGCCTCAAGCATGACTCTGGGCTGTACACTGACTCACAACAGTACTCACAAGAATGAGTCAGCCTCCAGCATGACTCTGGGCTGTACACTGACTCACAACAGTACTCACAAGAATGAGTCAGCCTCCAGCATGACTCTGGGTTGTACACTGACTCACAACAGTACTCACAAGAATGAGTCAGCCTCCAGCATGACTCTGGGTTGTACACTGACTCACAACAGTACTCACAAGAATGAGTCAGCCTCCAGCATGACTCTGGGTTGTACACTGACTCACAACAGTACTCACAAGAATGAGTCAGCCTCCAGCATGACTCTGGGTTGTACACTGACTCACAACAGTACTCACAAGAATGAGTCAGCCTCCAGCATGACTCTGGGCTGTACACTGACTCACAACAGTACTCACAAGAATGAGTCAGCCTCCAGCATGACTCTGGGTTGTACACTGACTCACAACAGTACTCACAAGAATGAGTCAGCCCCCAAGCATGACTCTGGGTTGTACACTGACTCACAACAGTACTCACAAGAATGAGTCAGCCTCCAGCATGACTCTGGGTTGTACACTGACTCACAACAGTACTCACAAGAATGAGTCAGCCTCCAGCATGACTCTGGGTTGTACACTGACTACACAACAGTACTCACAAGAATGAGTCAGCCTCCAGCATGACTCTGGGTTGTACACTGACTCACAACAGTACTCACAAGAATGAGTCAGCCTCCAGCATGACTCTGGGTTGTACACTGACTCACAACAGTACTCACAAGAATGAGTCAGCCTCCAGCATGACTCTGGGTTGTACACTGACTCACAACAGTACTCACAAGAATGAGTCAGCCTCCAGCATGACTCTGGGTTGTACACTGACTCACAACAGTACTCACAAGAATGAATCAGCCTCCAGCATGACTCTGGGTTGTACACTGACTCACAACAGTACTCACAAGAATGAATCAGCCTCCAGCATGACTCTGGGTTGTACACTGACTCACAACAGTACTCACAAGAATGAATCAGCCTCCAGCATGACTCTGGGTTGTACACTGACTCACAACAGTACTCACAAGAATGAGTCAGCCTCCAGCATGACTCTGGGCTGTACACTGACTCACAACAGTACTCACAAGAATGAGTCAGCCTCCAGCATGACTCTGGGTTGTACACTGACTCACAACAGTACTCACAAGAATGAGTCAGCCTCCAGCATGACTCTAGGCTGTACACTGACTCACAACAGTACTCACAAGAACGAGTCAGCCTCCAGCATGACTCTGGGTTGAACACTGACTCACAACAGTACTCACAAGAATGAGTCAGCCTCCAGCATGACTCTGGGTTGTACACTGACTCACAACAGTACTCACAAAAATGAGTCAGCCTCCAGCATGACTCTGGGTTGTACACTGACTCACAACAGTACTCACAAGAATGAATCAGCCTCCAGCATGACTCTGGGCTGTACACTGACTCACAACAGTACTCACAAGAATGAATCAGCCTCCAGCATGACTCTGGGTTGTACACTGACTCACAACAGTACTCACAAGAATGAATCAGCCTCCAGCATGACTCTGGGTTGTACACTGACTCACAACAGTACTCACAAGAATGAGTCAGCCTCCAGCATGACTCTGGGTTGTACACTGACTAGTTCGTCAGTGTTGTCACAGATGATTCTGGCCAGTGATACCTTCCTCAGTTCGTACAACTGTTCTGTAATAACAACAACAATAACTGTTAGCTAATTCAACAGAGGTGCACTACAATAGGCCTACAAGCCTATGGTAGGCTTGAATCTTTAATTTAAATCAAATTTCTTTCTTAAACACCATCGAGCAGAATCAGATAAGTTTTGTACAAGCTGGTTGACCTGACACCTTTACACTTGCATAGGCCTATTAGCACTTAATATTAGTAAAATGAACTGTGACAGGCCTACTGATCCATAATACAGATTTCACAGCAGTAGGCCTACTGACCCATGATACTGATCGTACTCACTGTAGTAGGCCTACTGACCCATGACATAGACCGTACTCACTGTAATAGGCCTACTGACCCATGCTAGCTAGATAACAGCCTGTAACACCTTGGATCAAGAGACTGACCTTTAGTGAAGGACGAAGGAGGGAGGTCGTTCTCGTACCAGTATCTGTCACCTCGTCTGAGGTAGTGGAACTGTCGGCCTATCAGACAGCCCAGGGTAGGCCCTACCAGCGCCCCTCTGTTAGGCTTCTCTGCCAGACCTCCAGTGAACAGGTCTATGTCATCAATGTTCCTGGTACAGTAGAGAGTGAGTGAGTGAGTGAGTGAGTGAGTGAGTGAGTGAGTGAGTGAGTGAGTGAGAGAGTGAGTGAGTGAGTGAGTGAGAGAGTGAGAGAGTGAGTGAGTGAGAGAGTGAGTGAGTGAGTAGATAATCAGGGAAAAATTTTGATGATGATAAAGTAAAAAAATAAAAGGATGTATTTTAGTAAAGGAAAGTGAGTTTAAGAGGGTGATGAAAAAAAATAAAAAGAAAGGCCCGAATGGTAATGAAATTTGGTAAAGAGTTTGGGAAAAAATACCCCGTGTTTGTAAAAATATAAGTGATGAGGAGGTAAAGTTGAGGATGGAATTTAAATTAAAATAAAAAGAGAGATAGTAATTTGGGGGAAAAAGGGTAAAGGATAAATTTGATAGGATATGGGGTTTTTTTAGTATAGAATTGGTGAGGATAAGATAAATAAAAAATTTAGAGTAGGATGATGATATGGATATGAGTAGGGTATAAATGAAAGGAGTATAGGGGGAAATAGGATGAATGTAGGAGGATAAGGGAATGGAAAAGAGAAGGATAGGGGTGAAGGAGAAGGGGAGGGTTTGAAGTATGAGTGGTTGAGTGGTATTAGTGAGGGGGTAGGGTGGGGTGAGGAGTGAGTTTTTTAAATGGTTGGGAGTGAGTGAGTGGTGAGGAGGAGTGAGTGAGGAGTAGTAGGGGTGATGGGGAGGAGGAGTGGTGGGGAAGTGAGTGAGGAGTGAGATAGTGAGGAGTGAGGAGTGAGGAGTGAGAGAGTGAGGGAGTGGGGGAAAAAGTGGGGAAAGTGAGTGAGTGATGGGAGTGATGGGGGAGGGAAAAAGAGTGGAGAGGGGAGTGAATAAAAGGGTGAGGATAAGATGAGTGAGTGAAGTGAGTGGGAGATTGAGAGGGAGTGAGAGGGAGTAGGGAAAGGGGAGATGTGAGTGAGTGATGGTAGGGGTGATGTGGGGGTGAGAGAGTGAGGAGGAGTGAGTGAGGGGGGTGAGTAAAAGTGAGTAGTGGTGAGGAGAGAGTGAGGATAAAGAGTGAGTGAGTGAGTGAGAATTTTTGGGAGTGGTGGGGAGAGTGAGTGATGAGTGAGTGAGGGAGTGGGGAGAAGTAGGAGTGAGGAGGGGGAAGGGGAAGTGATGAGTGGGATGGAGGAGAGTTTTAGTGGTGATGAAAAATTTTGTTTAAAATTTAGAGAGGGAGTGAGTGGGGTGATGAGGGGTTTTGGGGGGGAAGTGAGGAGGGGGAGTGAGTGGTAGTGGTGGGGGGAGTGGAAGTTGTGAGTGAGTGAGAGAGTGGGGGTAAAAATTTTAGGGGAGTGGTGGAGTGAGGATGTAGAGTGGAAGTGATGAGGTGAGTTGAGTGGAGTGAGTGAGAGGGAAGTTGTGATGAGGAGGAGTAGATGAGGTGAGTGAGTGGTGGAGTGATTTTTGGAGTGAGTGAGTGTTGATGAGTGAGTGGGTAGTGAGTAAAGTGAGAGGGGGTGAGTGAGTGAGTAGGGGAAGAAGGTGTGAGTGAGTGAGTGGAGATGAGAAAAGTGTAAAGGTTGTTGTGGATGGATGGATGTTGAGTGAGTTGAGTGAGGAGTAAATTTTGTGTTGGGATTGAGTTAGGTGAGTGAGTGATGGTGATAGTGGTGAGTAGGTGAGTGTGAGTGGTAAAGGGTGACAGTGTTGGGAGGAAGTGAGTTTAGTGAGGAGTGGGAGGATGTGAGGGGAGTGAGGGGGTTTGAAGTTGAGGAGTGAGGTGAGGGGAGTGATGTGGGTAGTGAGAGGTGGTAGTGGAGATTGGTGGTGAGTGGTGATACGTGGGAGATGGGGGTTTGGAGATTTGTGAGTGAGTGTGGAGTGGGTTTGAGTGTGAGTGAGGGGGAGGTGGAGAGGTGAGTGAGTGAGTGAGTGATTGTGAGTGAGGTGGAGTGAGGGATGATAAAGTGAGTGAGAGATTTGTGATGGTAAAAGGGTGGAGTGAGTGTGAGAGTAGTGATTGTGAGTGGTGAGGAGTGAGTGAGGAGTGAGGGGGAGTGAGTAGTGGTGGTGGTGATGAGTGAGTGAGTGAGTGGGGAGTGAGTGATGGGGTGTGGTGGGGGAGGTGGTGGTGGGTGAGAGAGTGTTTGGGGAGTGAGTGGGGTAGTGAGAGAGTGGTGGGGTGAGTGAGTTTTGTGGTGGAGTGAGGAGTGAGTGAAAGTGAGTAGAGTGGAGAGTGAGGGAGTGAGTGAGGAGGTGAGTGAATAGTGAGTGAGTGAGTGTGATGTGTGGTAGTGAGTGGGAGAGTGGGAGTGAGGTAGTGAGTGATGAGTGAGTGTGGAGTGAGTGATGGAGAGGTGAGAGTGGAGTGAGGTGGAGAGAGTGGTGAGTGAGTGGTGTAGTAGTGATGGTGAGAGAGTGAAGAGTAGTGAGTGAGTGAGGAGAGAGTGAGGGAGTGAGTGATGAGTGGGGGTGAAGGTTGTGAGTTGAGTGAGTGAGTGAGTGAGTGAGTGAGAGAGTGAGTGAGAGAGTGAGTGAGAGAGTGAGTGAGAGAGTGAGTGAGAGAGTGAGTGAGTGAGTGAGTGAGAGAGTGGGTGAGAGAGAGAGTGAGAGAGAGAGTGAGTGAGAGAGGGAGTGAGAGAGTGAGTGAGAGAGTGAGTGAGAGAGTGAGTGAGTGAGAGAGAGAGTGAGAGAGTGAGTGAGAGAGTGAGAGTGAGAGTGAGAGAGTGAGAGAGAGAGTGAGTGAGAGAGTGAGAGAGTGAGTGAGAGAGTGAGAGAGTGAGTGAGTGAGAGAGAGAGTGAGAGAGTGAGAGAGTGAGTGAGTGAGAGAGTGAGAGAGAGAGAGAGTGAGAGAGAGAGTGAGAGAGAGAGTGAGAGAGAGAGAGAGAGAGAGAGAGAGAGAGAGAGAGAGAGAGAACGCTATAAATAGACCTAAACTTTCTTGATAATTTAGCACTTAATTATTATTAGGCCTATGAGACTTATTTGTAATTTTCATGATGTTAATATCAGACTTAACAAATCTTGGAATTAGGCCTTGATGTTAGATCTAGGAGGCTAGTAAGATAGGCCTACTGGAATTTATAAACAGATTTAACCTTACTAACTCCTTGGAGTTAGTAAGAAGGCCTACTGGAACTTACTTAATGTTACGCCTAGTGATATAGGCCTACTGGAACTTACTTATATACAGATTTAAGTTTCTTAATGTTAGTCTGAGACATAACATCTGCCAGGTCTTCAAATTTGACGGCCTTGGGTAGACCACAGAAGTGTCTCCACTTGTTGTACCCAGCTATGCCATGGTCTCTACCCTGCTGGATGATCTGTGCCGCCAGGTCTAGGCCTACACCCGTCGAGGCATCCTCAAACATTTTGCTGGTCATGGCCTCGGTCATGGACGTGTCTTGGTTGTGAGAATGGGCATTTACCATGCCCTGGATGACCTGGTCAAACTTGCCCCTCTCGTACAGGTCAAAGGGCGCGTAGAACGTATCTGTGACGGGGCGTTCACTCAGCTTACGATCCTGGTGAGAGGAAGATCCTTAACCATCACTCAGTTAGTAGTGTGTTTTGTGTCTGAGTAATGGTAGACAGAGTGAAGAATTAATTAATGTACCTGAGTAATGGGTAGAGAGGCCAACAGTACGCCTACAGTAGGTCTACAGTAGGTCTACAGTAGGTCTACAGTAGGCCTGCAGTAGGTCTACAGTAGGTCTACAGTAGGTCTACAGTAGGTCTACAGTAGGCCTGCAGTAGGTCAACAGTAGGTCTACTCACCTCATCATAATAGGCCACGTTGCTAGGCAACATTGATACCACGAAATTGATGGCAACGTTGGCGACAGAGTTGGCGAGGCCGGCATTGATGTTGATGTCGTAGCCAGAGAAGAAACCAGACTTCTGTAGAGCCAGACCGTACTTCTCCAGGATGCCCTGCAGGGTTTAGAGCATGGCTGTTAGTTGTGACCTGGACTAGCTGGCTGGTTAGATGCGTCCTGGACTAGTCTAGCATGATCTATCCACCCCATGATGGCTCTATCCACCTGTGGATGGCTTTATCCACCCATGGATATCTCTATCCAAGCTCAGAAAGGCTCTATCCACTCCTGGATAGTTCTATCCACTCCATGATGGATCTATTCACCCCAGAAAGGCACTGTCTACCCCAGAAAGGCTCAATCCACCCCCATAAAGGCTCTATCCAACCGCATGAAGGCTCTATCCACCCCCATAAAGGCTCTATCCACCCCCATAAAGGTTCTATTCACCCCATAAAGGCTCTGTCCACCCCATAAAGGCTCTATCCACCCCCATAAAGGCTCTATCCACCCCATAAAGGCTCTATCCACCCCCATAAAGGCTCTATCCACCCACAAAAAGGCTCTATCCACCCCCACAAAGGCTCTATCCACCCCATAAAGGCTCTATCCACCCCCATAAAGGCTCTATCCATCCCATTAAGGCTCTATCCACCCCCATAAAGGCTCTATCCACCCCATAAAGGCTCTATCCACCCCCATAAAGGCTCTATCCACCCCATAAAGGCTCTATCCACCCCACAAAGGCTCTATCCACCCCATAAAGGCTCTATCCACGCCCATCAAGGCTCTATCCACCCCAGAAAGGCTCTATCCACCCCCATAAAGGCTCTATCCACCCCATAAAGGCTCTATCCACCCCCATAAAGGCTCTATCCACCCCATAAAGGCTCTATCCACCCCACAAAGGCTCTATCCACCCCATAAAGGCTCTATCCACGCCCATCAAGGCTCTATCCACCCCAGAAAGGCTCTATCCACCCCCAGAATGAGAGTGAGGGTATTCGTACCTGTCCCAGGATAGAGGGTAGAAACTCTGTGTAAGCAATGTGTTGCAGCTCGGCTCCTACTATCCTCCTAGCCTCCTGGAAAGCTTGTTCGTCCGTCCAGTGAGTGTTGAGCTTGGAGAGCTGAGAGGAGATGCGATTGTGTTCCCTGACGAAGAGCTGGTGGAGGGAAGCCAGTCCCAGGTGCTCGTTCACCCGTACATCACCTGACTTAAAACACCTGAGAGGGAGAGTGAAAGTTAGCGAGTGAAAGTTAGCGAGTGAAAGTTAGGGAGTGAAAGTCAGGGAGTGAAAGTCAGGGAGTGAAAGTCAGGGAGTGAAAGTCAGCGAGTGAAAGTTAGGGAGTGAAAGTTAGGGAGTGAAAGTCAGCGAGTGAAAGTTAGGGAGTGAAAGTTAGAGAGTGAAAGTTGGTGAGTGAAAGTTAGCGAGTGAAAGTTAGCGAGTGAAAGTTAGGGAGTGAAAGTTGGTGAGTGAAAGTTAGGGAGTGAAAGTCAGGGAGTGAAAGTCAGGGAGTGAAAGTCAGGGAGTGAAAGTCAGGGAATGAAAGTTAGGAGTGAAAGTTGGTGAGTGAAAGTTTAGCGAGTGAAAGTTAGCGAGTGAAAGTTAGGGAGTGAAAGTCAGGGAGTGAAAGTCAGGGAGTGAAAGTCAGGGAGTGAAAGTCAGGGAGTGAAAGTTAGGGAGTGAAAGTTAGGGAGTGAAAGTTAGCGAGTGAAAGTTAGGGAGTGAAAGTCAGGGAGTGAAAGTCAGGGAGTGAAAGTTAGGGAGTGAAAGTTAGGGAGTGAAAGTCAGCGAGTGAAAGTCAGGGAGTGAAAGTCAGGGAAAGAGTCAGTGAAAGTCAGGGAGTGAAAGTCAGAGAGTGAAAGTCAGCGAGTGAAAGTCAGGGAGTGAAAGTCAGGGAAAGAGTCAGTGAAAGTCAGGGAGTGAAAGTCAATGAGTGAAAGTCAGGGAGTGAAAGTCAGGGAGAGAGTCAGTGAAAGTCAGGGAGTGAATGTCAGGGAGAGAGTCATTGAAAGTCAGGGAGTTAAAGTCAGGGAGAGAGTCAGTGAAAGTCAAAGAATGAAAGTTAGGGAGAGAGTCAGTGAATGTCAGGGAGTGAAAGTAAAGGAGTGAAAAGTCAAGGAAAGAGAGGGAGAGAGTCAGCGAAAAGTCAGGGAGAGAAGTCAGGGAGTGAAAGTTAGGGAGAGAGTCAGGTGAATGTCAGGGAGTGAAAGTAAAGGAGTGAAAGTCAAGGAAAGAGAGGGGAGAGAGTCAGGAGAGTGGAAGTCAGTGAGAGTCAGTGAAAGTTCAGG